GCTACCATTTTTGCATACATTGGAGCCTTGCCAGACACTTTCAAATGTGTATTAGACCGTGACGTTGAGCATCCCCTGCGAACGTTTCGGCGGTGGGGTAATGTATGCAAATAATTGTATATGGCGCGGGTCTTCTTTCTTCGAATCGCGCCAATATTTACAACATAGATATGTCACTTCCATAAAGATGTTTACCCGTTTGCAACACGGCGTTGAGTAGTACGTGATGCGAAACTTTCACGTGAATGTTTTCTCAATCTAACTCCCGCGATATCGAAATTCGATCACGTAGGAATTTGATATTGTATATTACAGCGGATGAAAGTATATTTCATTTGCTAATGAACTGACAAATGGAATACATTTCCATTCTCCGGATTGTAATCTCAGTGCATTTGAACAAACTACCGTGGAATTAGTTTCAGCAAAGTTACTCGCAGCGCTTCCGGGCGCAAAAGTTTAATTGTCTTATGCAGAAATGATTACATATAACTTTCGATCCTGTTATTGAAAAATAATGTTAAAAATAATGAAAGTAAAACAGACTGGTCACTTTAATTACTTCTCTGTTTCTTTTTAATTTGCCGGAGTACTCGTGTGGCTGTTTTAAATGAATCTACAAACTTTTACATTACATTACAAACTTCCTATCATCCTTAGATCATCAGCTTGGCCGAGATACAAAAATAAACAGCAGATAAATATTTTGCAAAAATCTGAAATTTTTTCATTTACGGCTTGCTAATTTTTCTGTCTCTGCGTTTCTATCTTACACAAAGATAAAAAAAGTACATTTTATTGGAAACTCCCGCGGTGAAATTGAGAAGTGAATAACGTTGGCGCATGTATCGACATATTGTGTACACGATGCTTGTCGGCCTTTGCTTTCATCATACATAGCGATTACATTTGCACACAACCACAACATTGCTGAAAGTACACGTGTTAATCAGAATACGCCAATTGGAGATGGGACACAAATGTAACGAGGCTACGCTAGACACTAGTTGCATATCACACGCACGCGTACAGGTAAATCTACCTGGCAATGTAGTGAAATCGCCTGTCGTTCGCAGGATTCGCAAACGTGAGACGAGCTCAAACTGTTTTTGATATTTTCAAATATTTGGAAATTCCTGAGAAATGCAAAACTATACATTTTCTAATTTTTTCATTTAAAATATTCACATCTAAACTTTGGAATCGGTTAATTTTCCAGTTAAACGTTTATAAATATGCAAATTTCTTATTTATACTAATTCTAGAATATCGATAGAATATATAACTATCTATCGATATTCTAGAATATATAACTGGTTTTTCTACATTTTTTAAATATTTAAAATCTGGATTTTTTTCACTAATGCAATTATATGAGCATTAATTTCGAACGATAGTATCATATAAAAGCAATAACATTTTCCGTACAAGTAACATATGTACATATAAAAATGACGATAAATTTCTGGTTAGATGTAAGACACCTGTGTCGTAAAATTAATGACGATTTTTTTTGACGATGTTTTTGTTAGGCATCTGTGTCCGACATTGATTTGTGTTCTCTCTCTTCATCTTATTTTTTGTCAACAGAGGAGACAAAAGAAAAGAAATAAATTGCGTGAAGCTTTAAATCATAATAAAATGTCGCCTATGTCTTCTTATCGATGTAACTATTTCACAAAAGTATGCGAACACGTTCTCGGTAAATGGATCATAAAATAGGAATAAAAATCATTATCTAACTGTAATGAGATGGAAAATTATCGACTTACAATTAGTTTCTTGTGGATGTAAAAAAATATGCGCTTTTTTTATTATTCTTTCATAAAATTTATGGTTTATCGTCGGTGCGCGATAGTAGATCTGTGAAAAGTTTGAATTTTTAGGAGGCTAACTTTCGGAATCTTTTATAGCGCAAAAATAAAGTTTTGACATCTAGCGTTTCGTTTTTGTGATCTAATGTTTGAACGAAGTAAAAATAGACTTTATCATGTGGAGAAGATTTATCGCGCATTCTGCGCGATATTTGCGGTCTCTTCCTGTCTTTGATGATATTATAATATCATGACATACTGCATGTGAGTAATGGAAACGGGAATATTGATTTTTTCGCACTTGTCGTGCCTTTCTGTTTCTTTTGTCCTTTTTGTACGTAATATTTCTTTGTGTGCTTTTTATACTACTAGACACACACACACACAAGCGCGTGCTATACGCGCGTTATTTATTCTTTTGATTACAAAGAAATATATAACTTTATCTAAGAAAACACTAAACATTTTCTATAGAACACAAAAGTAATAAAAAAAGTACTCGCAATAACCTTCTCAAAATATAAACTGTAAAAGTATGAAACTTTTGCAACCGCTCGATAGCACGAAATAACGCATAGTACGTATCGAAGACAATCAATCAGTATCGGGAAAAGAGGTAAAAATAAGTGCGAGTGTTGGCTTTACATGCCTTTTTTAAGACAGGATATAGTAAAATCTAATTTTGCATGCTTGAAATTGAGCAACAATAATTTCGAAATATATTATTTGAAATTACATTTATACAAAAATGATATAGTATGATGTATAATGAAATACCACGCTGTTACAAAACGCGCGCTAAAGTGCAGTTTTGATAATAAGTCGTGATTGACATAATATATTGATATACTGCTTTTAAAAGGATTCGCCGTGCTTTTAACCATTCACATCTCGTAACAATTTCACTGCGATGTGCAATATATGGTGATGCGAAACGCAGGCTAGCCGTGATGACGATGAAAACATCAATGACGTAAAGTAAACATATTTAATGTTCGCGAAATGCATAATTTAATCTGCATAACATTGTTTCCGCCTCGATATCCTGTTTTACTCGCGAGACATTACAATATCGAGCGCATTATAAAACGTATAATATTTCGTTAGAATAATCCTAATGCAATTCAAACGCGCTACTTTTTTTTTTACAACAAAAAGATCGATCGTCTGAAAAACTTTTTATCACAAAAACCAATCAACAATAATCTAAGTGGAAAGTAAAATTTAAGTTTTAATTAGGAATGAATGTAAAATCTTGAACTCATTTTATTGCGAGAACTTTTGAATATCATCCTTAGGTGCTGTTCACTTTCAAGTATCATATCAATTAAGGCACATCAATGATCGATCGTTTTACGCGTGAAATATCTCCGTAATGATTACCTGCGCGACAGAGATCGTACTTAATAAAAACTTCTTTGCGTGTGAACTATCATTTTCGGGACTGTCATTTTCCGCGTCCTTCTGCTCTCTCAATAAGAACTTTTACGGTTGAAGTTTTATACGTTTCACCGTAAATGCCGAGTGCGGCGGCGTGTTTTCCTATTTACAGTGCGCCTGCAAACGAGACGTCTTGCAATCGTAGACAAATTCGCGAAGTTCACAGCAAATGCTTGAGGTTGGAGCAGGTTTTCGTGATACGAGATAAGATCGCTTTTTTGTTCGCTTCGAATCACATGAACTCAATGTTTGTCAGCGCGATCTTTTTCTCTGCAATTTTCAGCACAATTTTTGCGCCAGTTTTTTACTCAAATACGACGTATAACGTTTCTTGCGTTTATACTTTTAATGTGCATAATGTGTTGCATAACAGAGGCTAATAATAATCTTGCGCACGAATTAAATTAGCAATCATTAAAGCTCTTAATTAGAATATATTGCGATATTGGGAAATAATATAAGAGAATTGCGTAATGTATCAATATTCGATAATAAATATAGTTTATTATGCAATACCATTAAAATCCATTATCGCTAAGCTATATACAAACTTATTGAAATGGAGAACATGGAAAATAAAGACGTATCCAATACATACGATATATTAAATGAATAATAGCATATCATCGTTATTTAGAATTCAGTTCTCGCATATCCGTTTATTATCACCAATAGTGATCAAATATTTGTCAGCGAAATCATATTGGAATTCACTAATTAAACTTCAGATCTCTCACGACATGCATATGTGTAGAATGAATATGACATCCTTGCTTATACATTACGGGACATAAAATTGTCCGCAGCCATGCCAGGATATGACAGAATAATCTTAAATCGATTTCCTTTCAACTTGCTTTTCAATCTAGTTTAACATCCGTTTATGTTTGTCTCACTAATATATTTACGAAATCGGCGACATCTGCAAGTTTTTCTGAGCATCTTAGAAAGAGAGAACGAGAGCTAAAATAACGTTGTTCAAAAGCTTCTTCAGATCTCGCTTATGGAAATATTGAAACGGGAAAAGTAACGTTTCCTTTATAGGAAGATTTAACCTGGCAACCTTTTTAATAGTGAAGTACTTCACGAAGTTTATCTTTGTGGGACTGTATTCCCGGCGATGCAATTAGAATTTTAACACAGTTGTTAATTATAAAGGAAGTACAAGGTTATTCGATATAATTGTATCCCCTCTTTCTTCAAAGAAATTGAGCGAAATTGAAAAAAAAGAAGTGGGATTGAAAAATTGTATGGCATATTTTTTTCACATGCATGTTCAATGATAAAAATTTTGATAATTTTGATAATTGAAATGAATAAAAAAAGAAACAAATATTCATAAAGAACATAATTGAAAATATTCAAATATTTAACAAGAATATGAAATATTCCCAATACCATCTGCAATTAATATTGACATATGCATCTAATTGTAGCGGGAAGAGCTGAACGAGCGATAATAAAAAATACAGTTGCTCAAAATTTAAATAGCAAATAGGGATTTTAATCACTTGATATAACATAATTTGGGTTAAATACATATTGCATTTTTGATTATTATTGGTATGACTGTACATAAATATAAGGAAACGAGAGAAATTGAAAACGGTTTCAACATCACACGGATACACAAGGATGAATATTTCAAGAAGATTTAGATTATTTAACAAGAGTTTCAGCTATTTTCCTACACAACTGCACTCAAGTATTATACTCGCAGCTAATGTTGACACATGCCAAACTCACCTAGCATGAGGTAACATGAGTTGAAGAAACTCGTGCCCAGTATAACGCAGAGTAGTCCTAGAATGCCTTGCGGCAGTTCCGTGAGGAGAAACAGTAACAACACCGCCAGCAGCATCATCGTAGTTCTGTCAGTCTGTCGTTCCTTATCAGTGACCTTCCTCCTCTTCTTAGGCTTCTCGTAGGTGTGCTCTTTGCCATTGCCCATCTTGATCGCGGTGTTCTTCATGGTGAGATTCTTCCGTCTTTGCTTCGCTTCCAGCAGCACCATGACCAGCTTGATACTCAGCACCGTCAACGCCACGCACGGTATCAGCTTAATTACCACACTATAGATCCAGAAGTTGATATCCTTGAGAATGTCGCCCATCGATGTTTTGAACTTCACAAAATATAGCGTGGTGTTGGTCGCACCTTGGCTGTGTATGTCGAATGTTGTTGTTTTGGTCCTGTTAAACATTAAGCCAGTTGATGTTGAATTTGTTATTTCCTTCAGAGCATTCCCGTACTCGTCCAACATTTCCATGTTTGGCTTCACCTCGGTCGCGATGTAGAGTGGTATGCAGAGCAACGGACAACACACGTAAGCTAGGATGATCATGAGGAAGGTGCGCTTGTCGCTGCACCATTCGCGATTCCTTTGAGGATGCGCGACCGCGATGTATCGCCAGACCGCTAATGTGACAGTCAGGCAAATCGAGATCGTGTGACACACTTGGGCGAAGTTCGAGTGGAACAGCACGAACACGCTCCAGCCGTAGGTGAATTTGTCTTTGCGGGAGCGGTGATAGAGATACATGTGGATCGCGTAAGGAATGTACTCGATCATCACAAAGAGATCGGCCACGGCGAGACCGGTGAGGATCATGTTGGTGGGTGACCGCATCTCGCGACGCGTCAACACAATGATGTTGAGGAGGTTGGCGATCGAGCCGAATATACACACAAGAAGACTCGCCCAGCCGTGTATCTGTGAGTATGAAAGGTAAAACAAGTCCCAGCCTGAACACCATGCTTCCGATGCTTCTGTTGGCGACGGCTGTGTATCATTCAAGAAGAAATCCATCCTTGCGAAATGAATTTGCAAAGGTAATCTCGCCAGCGGGCAAAGTGCACTTCTGCAAAGACGTGCGAAAGGTTAACGAGCGCTTCCCCTTTTACGCGCCTCAGAGCTTTGTTTTCGAATGGATTATTACCATCTACGTGATGACTCTTCCTGCTGCTTCTTCATGGAGAAAGAGAACGTTGCACAAATGGATTATCTTGAACGGATTAAAGTTTCTCACAAAGGATGACGATTCGTTCATTTTACCTGATTGGTAAAATCACAATAACGATTGACAATTATGCTACGACGCTATAAACAATGATTTATGTTTCGAAATTGATTGATTTATCGACAATCAGAAGTTGTAGCTATGACTAGAAGTTATCATTGTCAAGATCAATGAAGACAATTATCAGATTATAAATATCTGGTTATCATGTGACAATGATCATTTTTTGCTTGTTAATACGAATTATCACCGATTTCTACTTTAGGAGGAAAGTCAACGCATTGGCACACTTCACTGTGAACAGGAAGACGTTTTCATCTCGATGTCTCTTCGGCGTCGTGAACAGGATAATCAGATTACTCTTATCTCTGTTTATGAAAATATCACATCTTTGATCCGATAATCTTTGACTTGACTTTGATCTGACGTTTTCGGCTGGGAGGCTTTGGCCGAAAAAAATTGCTGTTCAGTGGTCTGACACCGAGGGAACGTGATAACTCTTCTGGATTTTTTGAACCGGAAACCGTGTGATAACTTTGAGACGATTCGTTCTCATCCACGCGGAGATATGGAGAGCAGGATAAAATTACCATGCGTTTAAAGTATCTCTCCCTCGATCTAAGTCGAACGTTCATAGTCGAGTGTTTTTGACGAAATTTTTGCCAAAGCGCAATTAAACACTGAAATATTTAAACGTATGTTTTGTTGGCGCAACAATTTTCAAGCGTTTAATGTGTGTGCACGGTTGACTAAATTTTTATTTATTTTTTATTTTTTTTTTACCTTTTGCAGCTTATATATTTCAATATTCAACAGATAGAAACCGACGTCATACACGGAACGTCAAGCTTTTGTATGACGCAAATGTCAACTTTATATTTCTATTTTTTTTTTTTTTAATAACAATGAGGCTCTCTTAATATATATATACATATATATTTTTCTTTTCAAAGAGTTCAGATTATTTGATTATAACTTCTAACGTCAACGTCGAGTACTTCACCATTGTGAATTAATACAGACGAGAAACGGTGAGATAGAATTCACCTATTCTTCGGAGAACAGTCTAATCGCGTCGGAGCCGCGTGCAACTTCCCACGAAGATTCGAGGAATCGCGAATTTTCTTGCGGTGTGCAGAATCACGGTGTTACGTGACACGTGCGACCAGTGACACGTGCTGGAAGGGGGAGACGCTCCAGTTGCTAATCATAATTGCCGCACCCTGATGTATCGCGGCGGATCTTCTCGTGCCATGGAAACACTTCGCCACGCACAGCGTTACAACCCTTCAAGCACGAAACGAGCATTATCATCAATCCGAACGCAGAGACGCACAAACATTCGCTTCCGATTTTCCACTCCTCCCCGCCTCCGCCCGCGGAGGATCGAATTACCGTTCCCACCTAAATCGATCACTGGCCGAGTTCTCGATCGTGAAAACGTTGTCGGCTAAAATTACATCGGCCGTTAATCTAAGATTGACGTTTCGCGTTTATCTTTCTTTTAACATGTCTCAATACTCGGCGATATTTATACAGATAGCACCGATCCTTTTGCAATTTTTTTCGCATTGTTTGCGATTTTCTCGTGAACAACACAGCTGTTTCGCGTAAGGATAAAAACGTCAAAAGTGTCGCGCGATCTTATAGACATGTCAAGTCCGCGTCCGGACGCCGAATGAAGCGAAAAGGCGTCGCGACGCCTCGTACGTTGAAACGGAGGGGCTCTTGCGCTTGCGTTGATCCAGTGCTCCATTCTAGTGTACGCCTTTCTCTCTCGCATTCCGGTCCTGTCTCTCTTCTTCACCGCCGGCACTATCCTTTCTCGTCCATCAAAGCAGTTCTTTGCATCTTCGCAGCGAAGGCGTGAACAGGGTCGGCTATCCTTAGATATGATCTAGGAATTTTATATGTGCGATCTGGAAAGGGGCTATAAACGAATGGAAATTCCAATTTCCTGAAATAGCCGTTTAGAAGAAGAGAATGTAAATTAGCTTGTTTATTTTTGTGATTAAAAATTCCATTTATTATTCCATAAATCACACACATTTTTATGCTTCAAAATAAGAGATTTTCAGGCAACGATATAAAATCGTGTGTTACGTTGCGCTTAAATTACATTTATCGCGAGCAGTTTCCTCTAAATAATAATGATATTCTTATCTCTTTTTCTCGTAACTGTCTTTGTCACCATATCTTCATTGTGAATAGTATTTTTCTTGTGTGAAAGAAGAAAAACCTTTATACATTTGTAACATTTTTACGAAATCGTCGTGTTTTGAGAAGTTCGTCTAATCTTATCCAGTACATTGACGCATCGTCGTTACTCAATCGAATCGCGATCGTGCATTCTTGTACAATGGGGAAAAGGAAAACGGCGATCTGAATCTCGCGCGAGAGACGAGTCAACAATAGAGGATCATTAAAACGTCGGTGTACGTTATCGCAAGCGTCGTCTCGTCCCATACAATTGGCGCATCGTGCAGAAGAGGCGACGAAATCCGTCCCTGATGTCAAGGTGGGACGTCTCATTCTTATTCTTCTTAGTTACTACTCTTACCCATTCCCTTTCATTCGTTCTTTCGTTCTTGCAATTCGTGATCCTTGTTAAAGCGCGTTCCAAGTCACCAAAGTGTTTGTATGTCTCTTTACGCCCCCGTGTCCGCCTCCTATCATTTGTGGCGCCCACGTAGTGTAAGCTTTCGATTTTAACGATACAGTGATGATTTCCTGCGTTGCTTTTGACATAACGATGCAATCTCGATGGAGGGTTTGCTTTTTCTGTATTCATCGTTTACATATCCTCGGATTAATAACTTCCGCGAGTGCATACGGGTTGTATCGTCTTTGAAAGGATGCAATTAACGGTGGTTTGCGCTAGGAAATTAGAGCAATCGATTCGACGGAAGTAGTCGATTGATCGTTATATTTAGTTAATTAAACGGGTAATTTACCTAGAAATGGTGGTGGGCTTTAGCGTACAAGGACGACGGGTAAAAACATTGTGGTTGCTGATAGGAGAATGTTTTATGAATACTAATTTTGTATTCTAGTTACAAATACAATACTAAATGTGGTTCTTTGATGTGCCGATATCGAATGCAATCGTTACATTAGGCAAATAGAATTGAAAGTTAAATATCTGCATTTTGCGTGCATTTTGCGGGCATTTTGCGGGCTAAAGAAGAAAGCAATTGCGAACATGTATGATTGAAAAAAAGCGAAAAAGTTTTGAAAGTAATTTTCTTAAATATACATATTGAATTAATCAGAAAATTCCTTTGAATTTTTGTTTTTTATTTTTAACAAAAAATCTGAAGAAACTTTCTTATCAACTCAATAATTTAGGAATAACGTTTGAAGAATGCCAGTGCTTGTTTGTTATTATTCGTTTAAACTTTTTTCAAATTTTTCCATGAAAATTCTTCCAGTGGTTAAAATACGAGAGGAGGGGATAAATATCAATCCTTCTAGTCGTTCAAATTTCTTGTTTTACGGTAGCGTAATACGTATTAGCAGTGCTGTATTTAATAGAACTTGAGCGACGGATCTTCTTCCTTATTATTCTCCGCTGCGAAATGCGCGCATTGCGCAATATCTCGCAACATATGCGACGGCGACAATCGTTTCGCAGATGTATAACAATTTGTAACAGCACCGCGATGTTAATCCCTATCATTAATATACGCCGTGCTGAGCTTTTCATTTTCCGAAGAAACTTCCTAAGACACCCGCACACGTCAGTTTCTCCGAAATGCGCGAATCTCGCTTTGACGTTCGCAATGAGCGTACGTAGTAGCAGTGGCAACGCGTGCTCGATAGAAATTTTCTATTCTTATTCGAAACCCGTCATTTCCATCAAAGTTGGTGCGGACTGAAACTGGTATAATTTCGATGGATTCAATTTTCCTCCGTTATACATAGACGGAATAGTGCCTTAGATCGCGTTTCCATAGTAATTCCTAAAGGGCGATAGGGGCTAAAGTGGATAGGGGATTACAATGATCGGGCGAATCGCTCGGATAAGGGGAGTTAGTTATGAAACTATGAGTAGAAACAGAGATGATAAATCTGTCAAATAGCTAGTTCTTGTTTTTTTCGGAATTTTTTTACGTTTTAATTATAATTTAAATGGTTTAGTAGCTTAACATTTTGTTATTGTTTAATATCGAGAATCTTGTAACTTTTAACGCCGTTTTAATATGCAGTTTTGAAGGGGCATATTATAATTTATCGGCGTTTTATAGGAGTTTTATGGTAATATATGTCTTTCTCGTTGATAAAGTTCAAGACTCAAAATTATCTCTTTATACCAGAATAATTCTAGAGTAAAATATAGTTTATAAGAGAGAAAGAGTCTTTTCTGAGAAAGAAGAGAGCTTTTTTAGCTTAAAAGAGAGAATCGAATTTTTATTTCTTGTTGAGATTACTTTTGCATGTGCTCAGCATCGAAATGACAATTTATACTGATTTTTAAAAGTTTGGGGTTCTTTGTCGGTTATTTTAGTTTTTTTGGTCATTCCTCACTGCCATGTCTTGTCACTTCGTTTTGCTTTCTCCTTGATGCAGCCTCATGCATATTATATACGTAACACCGGAAAGCTATTACAGCGAGCTGCGCGAGGAAAGCATGTTTTACATTAGGATGTGCGAGAGAGCGCGCGTGTTCCTAATAGTATCGCATTAAAAGCCTCCATACGGGTTTACGGCAACTAGTATACTTTATCTTTAATCGTGGGTTTTTCAGCTGGTTCGGAATAAACACTTCGGAGGTTAAAGCTTTCGAACTCAGATTATTTAATGTTCTCATAATTTCATGTTAAATTGTCCACAAATGTCATGGCATTTAATATACTAAAGCGAGCCTTAAATCCGAAATACCATTTGCTCACCCGCAAATGGAACACTTAACGGACTGTTGCGCAATATAATAATTGTTTAAATGAAATTAAATCATAGTATTGATGGGAAACCGTTATTTACAGTGCATGCATTTCATTTATGTCAATATTAGCGCCATGCGTCGGTTTCAGTGTACATCATTTTCATATATCTCAAATGAATAAGTTACAAATTTTTATGTCATTAAATGTCACATATATTATTAACGTCATATACATTGTAATAAATAAATGCAATTTTATAATTGTATATATTTAATTATAATATCTGTCGGAAATTCTACTAAGAGATATATATAATAATAATGAAAAACATTGGAAATGTGTAACATGTATTTTAAAATATACAAACAAAGGTGCGATTTTTTTTTGATAAAAATGATTGAGTATTTTTTTAAGTCAAAGATATTAGATAATTTAGATAATTACTAATATATAATAATATTATATATTTTGGATTAGATATCATATAATGTCTAAATAATCTGATACGGAAAGTAGCTACTGCATAACACAAGAAATAATATTTAATAAATTTATAACATACACAAAATTTAAAATTATATTTAGTATCGTACTATTGACTGTTAGGAAGCAAAAGATTAAAAAGTCTTATCTCGATCTCTTTGTTTTTATATTTTTCCGGAAGCATTTTGTGTAGTTGTATCTTCAGTGTTTTCGTCATAACTCCGTCTATCTCTCGTAGATTGCAGGAAATATATGAATTCATAGGAATATTGGAGATATACTTTTCATCCGAAATATTTCGTTTATAAAAAGCATCTTTGATCTAAAACGTCAGACAGACTTCATACATAAATGTTTGACCATGTCGAGCGATGTATATTCGACGACTTGCTGTTGATCGACGCGCTATCTAAATTCGCTGACGGATCGGATTTGACGACATCTCGATCTCGTTGAAATATATTTCTTGTCGCAAGGTTAACAGTTATTTGTCATGAGGGAGCAACTTCGACGTGGAATGGAAATCGCTGCTCGTATACCCATCGTTTCTGATACGTTCGATCAGACCTTTCCTATTTTCCTGACGTGATACGAATGATATTCACTTTTAACTTTTTGGTTGCCTTTGCAAAAAGAACAAAGATTTAAAACTTCTCTTATATTAAATTTTCTGTTATACAATTGATATATGTCTTCTAAACTGGTGATAAAAATAGGAATATATGTGACACAGTACGATAAAAATATAATTTTTCAGAATATATATTTTTTAAATATAAAGTCTTTGTCTTTCTGCTTCAGTACACAAATATTAATTATAGTTTACAAGCGTAAATTTTACGCAAATTACAAAATTAATTATTAAGTATATTGCAGTAATATAATTATAAGTGAACTAGACAATATTAAACAAAGTTGAAATTTACACGTATAATCTCACAATATAAATTATAATTGAACATTTACGAAATTATATTAACATTTGCAAGTTTTTTATCATTACGTATTTTCGTGAAACAGTGAGATATATCAATTTTTTTCTATTTCTTGCAAGCATGCAATACGTCGAATAGCAAACTTTTTTGTTCTTTTGTTCCTTAATGAACCATCTTGGTTGATCGCCGGACAATTTCAATGGAATTTCGAGAAAGACGAAAAATGAAACATTCCCGTGTCGATTCTATTATCGCGTCTCTAACTCCCAACAATGTTTCAGTCCATCTATTATATATCTCTTTACTACTCTTCCACAGATGTTCGGTGTCAGCTTCTTTTCTTTTCTTTTTTATTT